GGACATGTGTAGTATGTCTGCCCCGCACATTCATCTTTTCATGTGTAAACATCGCACTTGTCAGTCTTCACCCCGCAACCCAACAAGATTTGCCTCCCTACGGTTTCAGTTCTAATCCGAAAGGAAATTTCAAACCGTCAATGAGATTAAGGAGAACGTTAACTCTAACCTCTACAACGGACTGAGCTTGAGAGGACTAGAAGTCCGATCAGGATTCATTGTTGGTGGACACCAATTTAGCAACCTATGATATGCAAATGATTCCGTGGCAGACACGGAAATAATTCCAGCGACTCCAAAACTGGGTAATAATGGTAATGATAATAATAACCGTTTCCTTATAAGGAAACAGTCGGCATTTATTGACCAAGTAGCCAGAGCTGTTGTCGGTTGAAATTTATTTGTCCATCCTTTCGTTAGTTCCTTGGTTCGCACGACCATTATGCCCTGCCAATACCTTGATCGCGCAAAAAGAGAGGAAATGACACTACCTGATTTTAGTGAGAAAAAGAAAGAAAGAAAGAAAGCAAGATAAAAGTGTTTAATGGTTTCTTCCAATATTTCATCACTAATTTTCATAGCATGGAAAAACAAAAGACATATCATAGATGATACTTAGTTTCAGTGAAAGAAATGAATGAAAAAAAGAAAGATAGAATTGTTTAAAGGCTGTTTCAGTATAACAGAAAAAGTTGTTAATTTCAAATCTTTTTATTTGTACCCCCTTACTTCTTAAACTAACGATCAGCATTCATATTTATTATTGTTATGGTTCAGCTCAAATATTTAACGACGCAATAGGGTGATTTCGACGAGTATTTTATTGTCATAGAACTCGCCATGAGCTTATTCAATCATTAACTTAATTAATCAGAATATTAAAATAGCAATCCGTGAATTTTCACGGGATTTTCTAGTTTCTATGAAAACAATTTTTCAGACTTTCCCATGTCCACTAACTGTTATCGCTCTTTCTAGTATTGATGGGAGTTTCCTTCCTAACCTTTTGTTTGAAGTAGTGTGGAACGTCAACATTATATCTTTCGGAGTAAGAGTATCAAAGTATGATTGTTAGCAAGAAGAACAGCCCAAGATTTACTCTATGGCTTTGAGTTGCCAAAAGTACAAAAGTTACAAATTTCTGGGAAGTGTTTGAAACAGAAGATGGAAACTGTGACAAAGAGATCCAAAGGGCTATTGTAATATTGAACAATACCTCTCAGAATCTCAAGAATAAAGAAAATAAAACTTTCATTAGAAAAATAATAAAACAGTGATGAACCTCTATATAATACAAATTCTCCTATATGGCAGTGACCGCTGGACAATCTCTTCAAAGATGAACTGTAGACTTGAGGTAACAAAGACATGGCTCTACAGCAGCATCATGAGAATACCATGAACACAGCATGCAAACAATGAAGAAGTTTCAAAGAAAATTGAAATAAAATGGACACTAATATTTAAGATCATAAAGAGATAGTTAAAATTTCTAGGATACGTAAAGAGGAAAGAGGCTTTGGAGAATTTGAGACTCACAGAAGGGGCAGAGGGAAAAGACATGATCAACTATATTCTGAAGGGGGACAACACATGAAAGAAGAAAGAATCAGTAGATTTTGCAAAATGTTTTGAAAAGTGGAAGCAACATTAGAGGTTCCGTGAAAAGTGTTTTGAAGCTGACTCAGGAATCACTACTTTAGGTAGGCTACTTTTACACTAATGTTCAAAGACTGATTATATATATATATATAAATATATATATATATATCAGTAAAATACAGATATATATTTCAATAAAAATACACACATATATATAGCAGACTCAGGAATCACTACTTTAGGTAGGCTACTTTTACACTAATGTAACTAAGACTGATTATATATATATATATATATATAAATATATATATATATATATATATATATATATATATATATATATATATATATATATATATATATAAAATACATATATATATTTCAATAAAAATACACATATATATATATTTCAATATTTATATTTATTTCAATAAAAAATATATATATATATATATATATATATATATATATATAAACTTAGTGAGCCAGACAAACCTACCCAGGTTTCACCTAAGCGGATCGTCAGAAAGCTAACCTAACCCCCAGCCAGCTTTCCTTAGGTGAAACCTGGGTAGGTTTGTCTGGCTCACTAGGTTTATCTAGGTCTGCTCTACGGTTGTATCGAGCTCTTTTAGTTAGTTGTTTACTAGTGTCGGGTTTTTTTTTCTTTGGGCTTTAAACCTGTATCTGTGCGATTTTTTCGACATACTTTCCTGTTTCTAGCTCTTTCTTTTTTTAAAACCTTTTTCCTCAAGATTGATTTGATTATTGGCAAATCAAAAATTCGAGGGTTTTTTCGAAACGAGTATAGTTACCTATATATATATATATATATATATATATATATATATATATATATATATATATATATCAATAAAAATGAGCTAAATTAAGTTCTAGTCGTACTGATAATCTGGAAAAAATTATAAAAATATATAATAACAAAATTTTAAATAAACATTTATACCGAAATAAAAATAATAGTAAATCCAAAAAAGAAATCAATAATTTTGAAAATAAATTATGTCCTTTGGGAAATAAATGACTTACTGAATCTACTGTTTATCAATGCACTATTTCATTTACTGAAAACCCAGATGTTAAGAAATTTTATATTGGAAGTACAAAAAATATTTTAAATTAAGATGGTATCAACATATTTTTTCGTTTAATAACAATGCGTACCGTAACCGAACATCCCTATCTAAATATTTTTGTTATTTAAAAGAAATCAATAAAGCCCACACAATAAAAGGGAAATTATTTAAAAAAAAACGAGAATTTGTAATTCCTTAAATGACCCGTTTCCTTGTATCTACATGAAAAATTACCTATTATTAAGTTTGCCACAATAAATAAATAAGCGAAACGAACTGAAATATGCAGGCATTGTACAATATTCACGTTAGAAAATAGTTAATGAATATTTCATAAAAAATATATGTATTACAATTATATATCCATTATTCTACATATATAATGGTACATGCAATATTGATTTATTTCCTTGATTTTTTAATTTTCATATTGCCATGTATTAAGGCCCATTAAATAAGTATTGTATTTTAGGTTCAAAATTATATAAAAATGATTTAATCATACCAGTGGCCACTTTAAAATAGTTCTAAAATATTTTAAAATAATTTTAAAAAACGAAAATTAATCTATTATTAGAAATATACTTATCTCTCAAATTATTTCTTCGTAACTTAAATGTACCTTCTTAATATGACAGTCCCCCGAGACATGTATGAATACCACCCCCCACAACATCTAACCTATATTTTTAACTTTTCTGCGTTAACTTTGAGCTGTCTTTAGATTAGTCAAAAAGCCATACCGATAAGATTTTAAACTCTGTCACTCTACTTAACGCTTTAATAAGCAAAAGTATTCAATTCTGTTTTCAAAAGTAAATCATTTTCATCAAAAGTTACCGAACATTGTTTGATGACGGGATGAAAAAAAAAATTAAATCCCGAAACATAGAAATGTCGCATTGTAAAATATTTTTAAATAAATATCATTATATATATATATATATATATATATATATATATATATATATCATCTTGCCTATTTTGCTATTAATGTCATTGTTGTTGTCGTTGTTGGAATCGTTAAAGCAATCGGCAAATTCTTCTTAAAATATCTTTGCCGGAAATAAAACGATTATGTTTGCGCATGCGTGAATAAGCGCGCATTTTAAAAATACTTAATCAATAATAAAAAGAAAAAGCTTCCCCGCATCTCTCTCTCTCTCTTTCTCGTTTCCTATGTTTTCTTAATTTCCAAAAGGCTCTCTTTCTCTCTCTTTCTCTATTTCCCTCTCTCTCTTTCCTGCCCCCCATCCTTTTAGATTTTCCATTGCTTGGTTTGTCTTCACTCTTTCTCTTTCACACACACACACACACACACACACACACACACACACACACACACACACACACACACACACACACAGACACGCGCGCGCGCGCGTGCACACACATGCATAGACACAGATTTAATTTTTAACATTGGCTTTTTATCAAAGAAGCAAATGTTAGAAGATTCATCCTGTAAACCATTATTAATGCAGTGAGTTCGAGTACACTCACCCAAAGCTGAGCTAATATTGGAAGCTTCACCAGGGAGTAATAGATATGCTGACCATATCTGCTATGCTATATATATATATATATATATATATATATATATATATATATATATATAAAGTTTATAACATAGATATGTTATAAAATCACTACAAAAATAGCCATTTTGTTTCAACACCTCTGGTGTCTTATCAAGTGATGATGTTGAATGTAGATTTTAGAATAAAGCTTTTAAAAGGTTCAAATTAATTAACCATCCCTCGTAAGGGGAAACGCTGTCACATAAGCTGAAATGACCAATCAAAATACAAGTATACGAGAATTCAAGAAACTTGACAATGAAATAAGGTTATAATAACTATTAAATGCTTTAAAGTTAGGTTCATGCTAAAATAAAATTTAATCCAACTAATAAGGATTAAATTGTACGATAAAATATTAAATTAAAATTAAAAACTACCCATTTCAAAAATGTAAATTTAATCTATATTAAGTTTGAAATTTTAAAATTATTGAGGAAAATATTTGAATAGTAATTGTTGGTTATTGGAATTTATTCCGTATACACCAATCATATACTTGTATATATATATATATATATATATATATATATATATATATATATATATATATATATATATATATCCGGAGTTGTTTTTCTGTTTTTTTTTTGAATTTGTAGGTCTGATGAATTGGATCGTATTTACCATTCCAATGGAATAAATTATGACCATGGAATATTAGTGCTTAAGCCTTTTTTTTATATATATATATATATATATATATATATATATATATATATATATATATATATATTTCTGAGATGGGGTATTATATACCCTATTTACATTTGTTGCTATATTTATCATAACGTTTCGGCCGTTGTACGATTGTACGACCCGGTCTTCTTCAGGTGGTTTTGAATTTTTTCCAGTGAAATTTCATTTCATTCTTCCGTTAAAATCTCGTAAAGTTGCTTCTGTCCATCACTCTCTGCTCTAGAATACCCCTCCATAAGTGTTCAATTATATTGAGATGAGGTGATTGTATTGGCCATGGAAGATTTTTAATTACATTATGATGCTCATCAAACAATAACTTCACTTTTTTTGCAGTGTGTATGGGTGTATTATCATCTTGGAATATGGCACTTTCTGGCAAAAGTATGGTAGACATTGTAAGGATATTGTCATTGAGAATATCGAGATATTTATCTGAGATAATTCTACCATTAAGTGTGATGATAGGACCAGAAGAATACCAGAAAATTGCCGCCCAAATCATTACTGACTCTCCTCAATGTTTGACTGTCGGGGTTATGCAATCCGGCTGATAGGTTTCACGCTGCGGTGTTCACCAGGCATAACGACGCCCTTTTGTAGAAAATAACGGGAAAGAAGACTCATCAGATCAAATAACGTTTTTCCATTCCTCGAGTGTTCAATTTTTGAGATCATCACACCATTTTTTTCGCAACTTGGCGTTCGAATTTGTGATCAGAACTTTATGAATCGCATCCCTTTCATGGATGTTAGCTTTGTGGATCTCCCGATGTATTGTGCGTGTAGAAACTGTATTGATTAATATGGGTAATGTGTTCTGATGTCACTTTTGCTGCAGTAGTTTTAGGATTTTTTGCCACAATTTGTTTTAAAACTTGCCGGTCTCTTTCGTTCGACTTTGGTTTCCATCCGCTACTAATCCTTTGCTAGTGTTTTGCCTTGTTTTGTGTAAGCTGTCATAACCATTGGACACTACAGGTCATAACAAATTCAATTATTCAGACGTTTTGCTCTGCTAATCGAGCACCAATTATTTGTCCTTAAAATCCGACAGGTTGCGCATTTTATGATGTAACTCTTTTAACTGAAGATAAATAATGACTTAATTAAGTGGAAAATTCAAGGTAAAGGATTAAAGTGCTGAACAGTTTACCTTTTATGTCAGTTTGATGTTTACAAATAGCCGGAAATGCTGGAAATTAAAAAATTGCAATTTTTGCAAGCTGTATGTATTTAACTTATATTTATATGTTTATATTTGGTTATAAGTGTATATCGTTTTTTTCCTCTATACATAAATGGAGTGTTCCATTATTATACCTGTGCGGTATAAATGTCAGTATTTTAATTTTACAACATTTAGTTTTTTGTCAACACCAGACGATTGAATCGTGTATGAAACACAAATTTCTGCTAACGGTAACGAACAAAAAATGATATATATATATATATATATATATATATATATATATATATATATATATATATATATATATATATATATATATGTGTGTGTGTGTGTGTATGTGTGTGTGTGTGTGTGTGTGTGTGAGAGAGAGAGAGAGAGAGAGAGAGAGCAGTGAACTCATTAAGGAATACTTGTAAGGTTGAACCCACATTTTTCTTTCGCTCCGTTTCTATTTATATATCCGATTATTGCTTATCTATCTATCTATCTATCTATCTATCTATCAATCTATCTATCTATCTATGACTTGCCATTATCTATCTATCTATCTATCTATCTATCTATCTATCTATCTATCTATCTATCTATGACTTGCCATTATCTATCTATCTATCTATCTATCTATCTATCTATCTATCTATCTATCTATCTATCTATCTATCTATCTATCTATCTATCTATCTATCTGTTCGTAATTACCTGACAGCCATGACTGGATTCTCTTGCTTGTGTTTATGCCTCCGTGTTGAATCTGAGGCCCTGTGGGAAGGCATAACATCTTTATCACTAGTGATTACTTCAAATACTAGAATGTTGACTGGATATATCATCCAACCCTTCCTGAATCCTGCGCTGTCCTAAGATTGACATCCAAATACCCTGAAATGCAGTTTTCAAATTTCTGTCGGATTGAATTGCATCCTGGTGCTCTTTTCTCAAAGACAGTTTCCAACTGACCCAACTACCCTGTGCAGTCGACAAAATCAAAAACAAACATCACACATGCGCGAAATGAAATATATAAAATGGCGACGATTTACCCATCGCAGCCTGTATTTATTTTTATAATAAACATTTCCAGTTCTCTCATCATCTTGATGTTAATTTGAAATTCATCTAGGAAGGCGCCGTAGTTTTTTCTACCCAAGTACTTTTGAGCCCCTCCTTTAAAATAATTATAACAGATTTTCTTCACGCGTGTTTACAAAAATCCCAATCCTAACGGTCACAGTTTGTGCTTGCAATACAGCTCTGAGGAAGTTCTTGGAGAAGATCCAAAGTGCTTGGGTAAGAAAAATACGGCGGGTTCCTTGATGAATTTCAGCTTAACATCAAGAAGAGAATTAGAGAACTAGAAAAGATTATTATAAAAAAATAAATAGACATAATATGTCTATATTATTTTATGAAACATGTTTGAAGGAAGATATGTCGCCATTATATATATATATTTGTATATTTAGTATATATATATATATATATATATATATATATATATACTAAATATACAAGTTAGTCTTGTTGATCTTGACTGCTTTACTCAGTTCGATTCTCTGCGAACCACCTCAGGTTTGTTGCCATATTAACCGAAGCTCTATAAATTCCAAGTCGATCAAACTCGTGATCGAAGTAAATGTCTATTTACAAACGGTCGCATTCATGTTGGGATCCAGGTGCAAAAACAAAAAAAAAGAACATTGTTTCGATTACTGATTTTCATGTCGAAGGACATCTTGCTTATTTTGCGGAAATTCTCGTAACGCGTACCCCGGTTTCGCTCTTCATTTTGCCATGTCCTTTACGAAGCTGTTCTTAGCAAATGCCGAGAAGAAATATTAAAGATAAAAATTGCTATACAAATAACAAATCTCCATTTCATCTTAACTGCGAACAATTTTGTATACGAACAAAAGTCTTGACTTGGCAATTATCTCCGCTTGTCTTTTCTTTTTACAACCGACTCTGCAAATAACAGCCATTGGAATTGGAACACTTGAAGAGTGTCGCTTTTAAAGTGAAGCCTTTAAGCAAAATGAGAAAACTGGTTCCATTTTGTCGTTGAAAATAATACATAACGTTGAACTGAACTTGGCTTAAATACATATTTGCAACTGAAACTTAATTTAAGCTAATATAAAATTATAAAACTCTTGCATACGTATAAAGCCGCAAGTGTTCGCAGATTACGAATGAAATAGAATATATGTATGTATATATGAATGAAATAGAATATATGTATATATATATATATATATATATATATATATATATATATATATATATGAATACATTTTGTGATTTAAGTAATCATATATAGTAATTCATCGAGTCTAGAAGAACCCTCAACAGAAAGCACTGGACGGCCGTTTCGCCCTATTTTCGGGACTCATCCACTATCGAGAATCGAACCCTGACCAATTCGATATAACGCAAACGTCAAACCAACTGTACCACAGAATAAGTAAGTGGCGGCGCTATCTCTTCTTCGTCACCGTAGTACAGTTGGTGTGACGTTTGCCTTGTATCGAAACGGTCAGAGTTCGATTCTAGGTAGTGGATGTGCATTGCAGATGTATCCCAAATAGGACGAAAGAGAAGTGCTTTCTACATTCTGTTGAGGGTTCTTCGAGGCTCGATGAATTACTAATATATAATTACTCTAAATCCCCCATATTTCTTCACTTGTATATCCTTGTTTGACCTAGCGGCTAAGGGTGAAAAGAAAACTTGGCTCTTGGGGTACTGTTCTGTGGGTATTCACATACTTGGAGGAGTATCACGACGGAATTGAGTGAGAGACGACGCTGTATCGCGTCTGGTCACGTTGTTCTTCGTCACCGAGGTATCCGGGTTCGATTCTCGCTAGTGGATGCGTTCTGCATTCTGTTGAGGATTATTCTAGGGTCGATGAATTACTATATGTATACAGACAGATAAAGAAAGTGATCGTCATAGATAGATAGATAGATAGATATGAACAGGCTGATATAGATATATAGATAGATAGTTTGAAGAGTCTAGAAATAAATCATGTTTTATAGATAGCCAGATGTACAAAGTTTCAAAATTGTTATTCGCACTACAACGACTGAAGGAATCATTTTGAAACATTTTATAATAATATTCCTTGTTTTCTTAATTTTACAATGTTTGTTTCATAAGACAGTATATTCTTTATGTTTTTATACAAATACGTTTCTCAAAATCTTAACTTATGTTCATTATTGTAAAGATGGCCCTCATATGTGATGCAATTCTGAGTTAAATTCTTATTATGGTTGTAGTTAGATAATACAAAACACCTGTTTTATGGCATTTATACAATATTCATTTTTCCAAGTCAAATGTAAATGTCACAAGAATGCCTTTTCGAGTTTATTTAATCGGATATGAATCGATTCTGCAATACAAAATTTAGGATCGATCGAAACCAGAAAATAGAAACGAAGTAAATGTATTGATTTTGTTGCTAGAATTTTGTGAAAGACCATTTTATGTTCACAGCAGTTTTCTACTGAACTTCCACGAAATCTTTCTCAACTTATACCATTATGATCTCAACAAAAACGAAATAAAAGAACTTGTTAAATTTCAGACTTAATTACGTATTTCTTTTCAAAATCATAAATTCGGTAATAATATAAAAAATAGATCACAACTTGAAGAAAGAAAGAAAGAAAAAAAAAAAACGAAACAAATGACAATGCATTTTAATTTAAATCAGAAAGTCGATAGGTTCCCAACTTAATGTGCCCAATGTATTCAAAAACTTACATTGTGTGATAAAGCATACAAATAATAATAATAATAATAATAATAATAATAATAATAACAAGCTGACGTAGACAAAACCCGTACCCATCGGTGGCTACGCAGTGCAGGGTTGAAAGCGGAAACTGAAGGTTTTATCCTTGCTGCGCATGACCAATGTTTGCTAACTAGGAATTATCAAGCACATATACTAAAATATTGTGTCAGCCCAAAATGCAGATTCTGTGATAAATATCCAGAAACGATTGGCACCCACTGAATATAAAACCCGACATGACAGAGTGGGCCAATATCTGCACTGGAAAATCTGCAACTTCTACGGGAAGGAAACTGAAAGAAACTGGTATGAACACCACCCAGACCCGGTTACGGAGATAGGACCTGTTACAATTCTATGGAACTACAAAATACACACTGACAGAACAATCAAGGCCATCCGCTCAGATATTGTTATTAAAGACCACAAACAAAAACGGTGCCTCCTTATTGATATGGCAGTCCCTGCTGACTGCAATGTATCTTTGAAGATATTCAAAAAGCTGTCAAAATACAAGGACCTTGAAATAGAAATCTCGAAAATCTGGCATATGGGAACATCAACAATCCTTGTTGTAGTTGGAGCCCTAGGACTGGTTGGAAAAGATTGCAGTAGACTAATTGAAGGGATTCCTGGAAGTCCATGCCTCAAGAAGATACAAAAAATTGTTCTGGCAAGTACAGCCCACACTTTACGAAGGGCTTTATCTATGTAATTTTTTTTTTTTTGTCAGTGGAAAGTGTCATGATGCCATTTCTAACCTTAGGTCCCTGGGCGGGACCCGGAAAGAAATGTGTAAACGCCAGAAATCAAAGAAAATAAAAATAATAATAATAATAATGATTGTTGTTATTTGTCTGTTATTATTTTATTTTTGTCAATCACTTAAACTTCATCAATGTCATTTTCTGTATTGAATAAGTATCAATGAAAAATACACTTAACCGTTTAAATTGAAATAAACAAAGAAACTGTAATTAATAAATGAATAAATAAATGTAAACACAAATCTAGCCTCAAAAATATTCTTCTCATTAGGCTCCTTAAGAATATAAAAACTATGATTATCTACTTCCAAGTCTAACGAAAAAAAAATCGAATTCAACAGTTGGTCAATTGTTGAATTTAAAAATATTTTCCCAAGGTTTTAAATATCGACAATCCTAAAAAAAAAATAATCTATGAGAAGGAAAGATAAAAATATTTTTCTATTTTTGGATGTCTTCCCATAGAAAGTACAAATAAATAAAATTGGGAAAAGAAATCCAACCATCTGAAGCAATGAATCTATTTTTATTTTTCACGGTATTTGTAATGGCAAGTTGCATCCGGACATAACAGACGGCTTTCCTCTGAATGGTTGACGAAATTATAAAAAAAAAAACTCGAAAGTATCGATGTGCATCCAGCCACCATTGCATCTTTTATTTTATTTTTCATTCGGACAGCTTGATGCTGGAGAAAATAGTGTATCACGCAGTCAGAAGAATAATTTGTTTTCACCTGTGGATTTTCGTGCATTTGTGAAAACCAAGTTTATTATTGGGTTGGTGCATAATTATCAGGCGTTTTTGTAGGCGAATTATTTGTTAATAAAAATTGCTGTTTTGTTTACTTTTTTAATAAAAATATTATTTCATTTTCAGGTTATATAAATGCGTTTCGATAATCATACGCTTCGGAATAATCATTTAAAAATGTTATTGTTAAATTGTTATGTTACTTTTTTTAATAATAAATATTCTTTTTTAAAAAAGCCTGGTGTCTAAAAGCCATTTTTCTTATAATGGAGTTTAAAATCGTGTTCGTCAACAGAAAATAGCGATTGATTAGATTGGAGTTAATTGCCTAAACTGACTGAAGAGATTGGTGTTAATTGATATTTACTAAATCGAGTTGAGTTTGTCACAAATCTATTGGCGATTTCAGAAAATCAAGTTGTACCAATCGTTAGAGTGAAGAGGAAAACATCTTAATTGAAAATTGGCGTTTTCAATCCAGATTCTGATAAGATCACTGGTGAGAAAGATACAGCAATCTCACTGTCAAGATGATTACGTAAAGCGAGTTTACAACGATAGAGAAATGAGGCACTCAGTGAGAAGATTGTTCTACAAAAAAAGAGTTTATTGAATACGGTTGATGGCCATTTGGAAGGGAACATTTTCTTCAGTTCAATTTTGTGCAAAGAAAGTGGAGCAATAGGAAAATGCTATTAATTTATTATCATATCTAACGTCTTTTCCCTTATCAATAATCTTTGGATAATGTTCTGACATAGTACAAATCCATAGCGAATCATGCTATCTATCTATCTATCTATCTATCTATCTATCTATCTATCTATCTATCTCTCTTTCTCTCTCTCTCTCTCTCTCTCTCTATATATATATATATATATATATATAAAGTCAAAAGGAAAACGCATTTGAAGTGACGCGTTTCCTCCATTGCGTTTCACACTTTGTCGGGTAAGATAAGATTTCTTTCTGTGTTTATTTGTATTGTCCTTTTTACGTCTATATATACATTAATGTTACACACACACATCTGTAGGTATATATATATATATATATATATATATATATATATATATATATATATATATATATATATATATATATATGTGTGTGTGTGTGTGTGTGTGGCTGACGATTGCCACGTGCATGAATCTCAGAGTAGCATCAAACGGTGAGGAACAAATCTATATTTGTTCTAAGTATAAATTTTATTTCTGCTATTTTACACCGAGTACTGCTGTTTTATTACCACGAGCACTCATTATACACTACATTATATATATATATATATATATATATATATATATATATATATATATATATATATATAAAATACAATGTGTTCATTTACCTTGTCTGTACTATCAGTTTCACGAAATTACAATAAATCTTCAGGAAACCTGATAGTAAAATAATCGTTAAGTTATTTGTGTGAAGACGTTGCTCGAGTGGAACTTACATCTCACCAATAGAATACAAAAGGAATGTGCCGTGACATTTAGAACTGGTGGAACTAAGGAATGAAGTTTATCTGAAGACTTTCCATGGAAATAGGGATAGGGTAACGAGAGGCTTGCAAATTTTCGTCCGTGGGAAGAAAGGGGTTATAAGTTGGGAAACAAGTCATCACCCACAAGGACGCGGAGACGTTTTAAAAAATTGTTGGATTCTAACTTAAAACTCGACTATGTGCCAAAATCATTTCAAGTGGATTATTATTTTTTTTTTAGCTCCAGGGCATCATTCCTCTGGCTTGCACCTGTACCGTTCCACTAAATGAAAAACGATATTTTTTGCTTTTTTCTTTTTTATCCTAATACGACTTAATAGGAAATTAAGGAATTAGGGTCATTCTATATTTAAATAGATTCCCAACTTGGTTATAAGGCAATCATGTCTTGATTTCAAATAAATATGATGGAAAAAAAACAAAAACTTCTGAGACTCATCCTTGTTCCATTCAGGGGGTTTATTCCCCAGAACTGTTGCATCATGGAACGGACTCCCGAGAGTATGCTTCCCTGAACACTATAATCTCAATCGATTCACATCAAGAGTCAACCGTCATCTCTCATATATATCCTCAATATACATCTCTTGCTCTCTCCATTTACGCCATTAAAACAATGACATTTACTAACCCTCTACCTTGAGTGGCTCTTGAGTATTGTATTAGGTAACAATAATAAAAAATGGAGAAAGATATAATTCACTCGCTAGAGCGTGCAGATTGTACATATCGATCCGATAATGAAAAACGCCTTTTTAGAGCGGACTTATTATTGTTATACCTCTATGTAGCTCCCCCCCCACCATTCTACTAAGAGAAGATAGGCCAGGGTCATTGTATTTTGACACGGACGCCTTTAGTAGAGAACTACAAATAGAAACGAGAGTTTCTTTTTACAAATCCTAGATAAACATTATATTCTCACATAAAGCTCAGCTGTGTACCATAAACACACTTGTGGACATTCGGATGGCTCCTATAATAAATAACCCCACATAGTCTGTATCTCCCCCAGGGCAATTCAAAGGTGGAGGGGCAGGGTCAATCCCTGATATATGAGTCATCAAAATGAGGAAGTGCCATGGAAGTTTAGCAATATATGGTACTAATCCCATACACGCGTGGGGGTCTGCCTTTGAAATCAACTAATGTGTCATAATCTGTTCGAGTCAGGCAGGGTTGGGGTGGTAGGTGGATAAATGCCTACCCGCTTTCATTTGAAGGCACATTTTAATCAATTTTCACGCTTTTAATCATTGATCTTTCATTCTCTCTCTCACTATATATATATATATATATATATATATATATATATATATATATATATATATATACACACACACACATATATATATGTAATCATACATACATACACACGCTCATACACACACGCGCATAAGCACACACATATTTTTTTTTTTTTATCCATTCAAACCAAACAAGGCGATAATGCCACCAAGATGCAAGGGTCTGCTGGGAAAGAAAATGAAAGAAAAGAAACTCAATTTAAACTGTTAATAGATAAAGAACCGACCCTTATATATATATATATATAATTATTATTATTATATTTTTTATTTTCTTTAAGTTTACACATTTCTTTCCGGGTGTGGGCTGTAGAAACTTGTTAGAACAATTTTAAAGCCCTTGTATCTCCTGTATCTCCTTGAGGCATGGATTATTATTATTATTATTATTTATTTAATAATATCAAAATCCACTACACGGAGTTTTGTCATATTATTTACGACTGAAAATTTTTATTACGAAACTTTGAGTATCAGATTTTGGTATTATTAAATAAATAATAATATTCTATTTAGTCACTGTCGAATTTGGAATTGAACCCTCAGTTTATTTATATTTTAAGCTTTTTGTTTATGTTTATTCTTAATCTTTCTCTTTCTATCTCTCTCTCCTCTTTCTTTCCACACACACACACACACACACACACACACACACACACACACACACATATATATATATATATATGATAAAAATAATATGATAACAATATGGTTTATAAGGTATGATATATTTATCGGTTAAAGTGCTGAATATCAGGGATAGAACGTATTTTAATATAAATATGGACAGTGAAGTCAACACCCAGCGGCGGCGACAGTCTGCTTTAGGCTGGACGATTGCGTTTAGTATGAAACAGACTGTAGCTTCTAGGTGTTGACTTCAGTGTCCACTCATATATATATATATATATATATATATATATATATATATATATATATATATATGCAAGTTTCATTAAATATGACAGACAAGGGGCTTTGATTATTTTTTTTTTTATACAGTTTCTCGTATTATCTTATAATTTTTTTCTTTTCAGTAGATAAATTATACAAAAACTGTGCAAATGATTTATTTTTCCGAGCACTTACGGCGATATATTTAGCCATTTTCAAGGATGAAATATATTAACTGGAAATAGATTGTTGTATGTATGTATTTAGTATTATAAAATTTTAATTTTCAAAACACAGTCAACATATTGTGTCCATGTTCATAGTGGATGCTATTGAGTGTTTTTTTTTTTATTTTTATTAATAAGGCTTCCATTATTTTTAGGCTTTTTTTTACATGTAGACTATACTATTATATTTGTATTGTCAACAGGTATGTTGCGAATAGGGACCGGTAGGTCTCCATGAGTATTTAAATTAGAACTAATTGAGCTATGGTCAGAAAGAAGTAGCGCGAGTCTTCTTATATATATATATATATATATATAAAGTAAATACTAAAAAAACGAACATTTATATAAGAAAAATACTTGAGCTTTTGTTAGGAAATTTTGGTCGTGGAATAACGCAGAGTTCGTTGTCAATCTTTAAATTCAATGTTGTTTTATTTTCCTTGCTTGCCAGACGAGTCACTTGGATATTTGTTAATGGCGTTCGAGTTCGTAATTTGGCTCTTACAAATGCAGGTCTTCAAAGTCAACTTAGGTCTCATCAGACTCAATCCATTGAAAGAAGCCGGTAATCAATCCTTGTGCCTTCTTGTACACTTTGCCATAAAGTATGCAAGACAGATGAAAATTCACTTTGGTGCTGTGCCTGTTGGGCGTAGGGATCTCCCTGTCAGGTGCAACATTTGTGCAAAAGCTTGTAAAAGTAAGGATGGCTTAAAAAAGTCATCTGCATAAAAAAAGAAAGAAATTTGTTGTGGAGATGGTCTTCTATCAAGAACTACCAATCACCATATATGTATATATATGTATATAATAAACAAGGGATTAGAACGTCCGCTTTGAGACCATGTAACCCAGTTGGTTGGTTGATTTTGTTTAGTGGCATATCAACACCTCTATGGGCTATTTAATGCCGAAATCTAAATATTTTGAACTCAATATCCAGGACGATGTGCCATTTTTTCCATTGTCATTATTACTTGTGCCATTAGTGCTTAAATTCCAAAGTTCGTCCTTGATAGAAATATTTTCGAGAAACAAGATCAGTTGATAGATTATTCAGTGAGGTGATACTAACAGCTAACCTTCGGATATTTTACACTGGCCTTTGATTTCTAACCCCTGAAACCACTTGAAAAAACAAAGCGAGTTTGTCATGAGTGCAGTTTGTGTTGTGGCTACCTGTCTGATTTAACAAAGTTTCGGAAATAATTGTCTTTTTTGTCGTGTCTTTGTTATTCTCGTGTCGTGTTCAGCCTTCTGTTGATTTCCCATCCCCTGTGATGTATGCGCCTTCATTTCTTCGTCTTTGCTTTCCTTTTGTTTCGAACAGCGCCATCTTTGAGTGGCGTGGTTTTGTTTTTTGTCGAGAAAACAGGCACAAAGGACATCACATAGAGCGGCTTTTCTCTCAACTTTCTCTTTCTTCCCACCCACTCATTTTTGTTCTACATACATACATACATACATACATACATACATATATATATATATATATATATATATATATATATATATATATATATATATATATATATATATACACACACTCACATACACATATATATGTGTGTGTGTGTGTGAGTTTGTAAACAGTGACTATTACGGCTAATAATGCAAGACTCTTCGGTAAAGCGAATCGAGTCCTCTCAGTCACTGTGTGTTTATCTAAAAATAAACACGCTTAAATTCACCTAATGGTTTAGTAGTAGAATCTCCGGCTGGTGCTAATTTAGTCGGGTTTCAATCCTAGCTTCAGGCAACCGGATGTCTAGTCACGCAGCTGATATTTTAGGATATTACATTGTCAAAATCGCTACACAATTGCAGTCGTGTTTCGATTCGTATACAGTGCATCTCATCAGACAATGGTAGATTACTAGCGAGTGAACGATTTAATCAAGTTGAAAAGCAAAATACGGTCTCCTTTTACAAAAAAAAGTAAAGAGGGC